CTGAGGGCAGATGGAGATGGTATGAGCCCAGCGGAGCCACAGGGTGCGGAGCACCAGGAAATTTGGCTGTCTCAGGAATGGGCTGATGTACATGACTGAGGAATAGCTCCAGGAGGGGCTGTCTGGCTCAGACAATGCCCCGGGGGCTTCGCTGGACCTGCACTACCATTGCATTAGGGCTGTGGCCCACAGAGGCTTTGTCTGTTGCTGTGTCTTCTTCAGACAAGACAACCTGCCTACAGCTGTGCAGAAGCTTAGGGAGCACTGTGGATAAAAGCGGGAGACCCAACTGGCATTTGCTGCCCTCAGTGGCTGTAATAAAACTGCATGTTGGACTGGCCCATTCTGCAGGAGAGCATGGCCATGAGGCCCTGGGGCAATGCTTACCCTCAGGCACCGCGTGCTGGATTATCCCTGCCCAATGTGACACACGCAGTGCCAAGTACCTGGTCCTCCATGACGTATTTCAGCAGCATCCAGTCCCATCCCACTGTGGCGGCGTTGGCTGGATGGAGCCTGCAAGGACAGCACTGTCCATTTGTGCTGAACTGCCCAACCGTCTGCCTGGAGGCACGGCAGCCCCTGGCCCTCCCCCGGCCTCACTTGCTCAGGGGCCTGCCCTGCCTTCTCCTCTCCAGCTTCACCCTCTCCCTTTCTCCTCCCCTGACCATATTAATTTTTTGGAAGCATCTAACTGGGGCTGTACTCCATGGAAAGCGTCGGCACTCCTGGGCCCGTGGCCTCACAAAACATTGTGACTCTCTGTGAGAATCCTGACAGCAGCAGGGGAACTGCTCCAGCCATCTCCAGCCCATGGCCCCCACTGCAGCCCAAGGAAGGCGTTTCTGCCATGTCACAGCAGTGAAGAATGAGATCTGCTCTTCAGGACCAAGGCAAACACGCTCCTCTGTCCTAGAGGGCTCCCTGGTGTCACAGGCTGTCCCTGCACTGTGTGGGCTTGCTACTAAATGATTAAAGGATGCTCATGATATAGTTGGAGCTGCTTTCCCCCTTGTCTCAGCATCCCCTGCCTCTCTCACCCCCCATCCTCTGTTCACTTGGGGGTTTATTGGCTGCTGTCTGGCCCAGCAATGGTCCTGACCGACCCACAGACAGCCCAGGGTGTGCCTGTGCTGATAACAGGAGGCGGGGCAGGAGGATCATCCTGGATTATGGGGGGAAATCGCTCCCTGTTCTGTGGGTGAGGACTACAGAGAATAACCTTTATGCTGGCCAGGCCCCCGGGAGCACCTAGCCAGCCCCAGGGCACCATGGCAAAGGGAACACCTACATTTGGATCTTCATCAGCAGCATGTAGATGTCCTTCAGGATCTCCCCTTGGTGGGGGTTCAACAGGATCTGTCTGATCAGGTGGGAGATGATTTCTTTGGGGGGACAGTGCTGGTGGGAGACGAACTCGCTCAGGAAATGCAACGTGCCCTCCAGAAAGTTCTCCTCCATGGTGGTGCGCACCATGCTCAGCTTCCCGCTGGGGATGAGCTCAGGTTTCCGCTGCGTGCAAGGCAAGGCAATGAGTGAAAACTGGCTCCCCCCAACACAGAGGAACCCAGCTGTGATGTGGGGCCCACCATGAAGGGAACTGCAATAACCAGAGATCCCAACTGCCTGGCAAAGCTTCCCCCGAAAGGGGAAGCGAAGCAGGGGCTGCCCCTGCTCCATCCTCTACTGCAGGGGCTGCTCTGAACCCCGTTTACCTGCTGTGTTTCCCTGTTGGGTGCTACACCTTGGAGGAAGAGGTGCTGGACTCCGCTCCTTCTGAAACAGTGCAGTTTGTTCAGCCAGGCCTTGCTGTCAGCCTTGGTCCTGGCTGGGGCCACTTGCTGGATTGCTTCGTGTGGCGGTAAGTCACCTGCTTCCAGCAAAGGCCCTTGGGCCTTCCCTGGGGTTGTGGGGATGGCTGGGGCAGGGCTCAGCCTCGGTGGCAGCTCCCTTTGCTGGCAGAGGTGGGGAGTCTATTCCTCTGGGCCACCGGCTCTCCAGCTGCTGCTGCTGTCCAGGCTGGAGGGGGACAGGGACAGCAGGTCCGAGTCCAGCTGCATGCTGGCCAGGGAGCCCAAGTCACTATTAACAGTGGTGGTGCTGCAGTTCTGCTCTGGGCTGCAGGAGGGGCCGTGTCGGCTGGGG